TGGAAGAGACGGTCTGGTAGACAGTCTGCAACTTGGAGAAGCCGCATGAGAAAGCCAAGGAAAAAGTTGGCCTCAACCGGCTGTTGTCCATTATCAGGTTGGGGTCCGAGAGATGTGGATAATTGCTGGTTGAAGACCTTGGAAGTCATGGGTCAAGATCGGTGTTAGTGGCCGACGTGTGCATCGGTGTGTTGCGGTGTCCCTGCTTCCTCCCCTAAAAAACATACCGAAATAATCAAATACGGTGAGTGGCAAACTGGACAAAAAAAGCTTTTGTTGTTGTTATTTTCTTACTGTTTCCCTATTATGCCATAATTCCGATGGCGCAATATCTGTACCACAGATTGTGTACAAGATATATATGTATCCGACTTCTGCGCACGCGAAGAGTGCAAGGCGAGCTAAACGCTCAGTGGGAATGCGACGCACGTGCCCAAGCCACCGAAGCCTATGCAGTGAAATGATGCGGCGCAGCGGCCAACAAAGTCTGTCTGATCCGAAAATCCTTCGGCGAACATCCTCATTACTAATGTAATGTTGCTGTTGTACACTAGCAATGCTCCGAAAGCAGCGGTGATCAAAGACAGAGAGCCTCTGAACATCCTTTGCGCGAACAGGCTGTCGCACAACTATAGAGTAGGACCGCTCTCTAGGTTGCACTGTAGACCTGACCCTTCAAGGACAGACTCAGGTCGCGTGGAGGCCAGAGATGGCGGGGTTTAGCAAACGCAATCCGGGCCTCAGAGACGCGCAGAGACATCCGTTAAACCGTTAGCGTTGATGCAGCTTCCGATGTAAACGAATTTGTGTACCATTTCCAGCGAATGACCTGAAAATGTAAGAGTAGGAGGAGCTTCTGGCCAGTCTTGTAGTAATACCTTACAGTTCGATAGAGCGAATAACATCACGAAATGGGAGACAAGCACCTGCAACATGCACATCACATTTTTCGGCGGCTTGTGAAGAATCGTAAACTATGACGATGTCGTGTGCACACTCCAAATAGTTGTCGGTCTCTGGAAGTAAATATACGTCGCCAGGCCCGCAGTTCTCCAGAGCGCTCTAAATGATGTCGTCTATAGCAAAACTGAACAGAAAGGTTGATGTTGGGTCGCCCTGTTTCACGCCATTGGTGATAGTAAACGTCACAGTTTAGCAATTGCGGAACTAACGCTCAAAGGCTGGCTCTTTGCCGAAGTATCAAAAGGCAAAGCACGTCAGGTACATAGAAGACAGAACTGTATTCTAAGCGGCGTGTTGTACAGCGCATTGATTCACTATTCTAAACTAGGCCAATGGATAAATGGGTGAGTGGATTCCTGACACACGCCAGCGGACGCAGGCAACGAATAGAAAGGACTCAGTACATTGGAAGTGAGGATGCCACATTCTTTCTCCCTTTAGTTTGGACCACTCCATCTAGCTTGGTATCGGTCGACGTGTCGGCGTATGCGAGTTGTACGGCTACACTGCTGAACCTTCGGTTGGCCAGAGTGGACAGTTCTGCACGTTTGCTAAAGCAGTTTGCTAGTTTGAGGACGTCTCATCTGGCGGATTTGAAACGGAATGATGACGGACGTGATCCTTGTGCGGAATAACTACTCTGCCATCAGGTAAAGTCACAACGATATGTTGTCCCGCTACTTCGCGCAACTCACCAGGCTGCCCGGTCATTTCGATGGGCAACTTGACGCAGACCGGTTTATCATCATCATCATCATACACGTTAGCTAGAGGTGGGGAACACCTCAGCTACTGTGCCGCAATACGCAGCAAGAACTTCTCAAGGTAGTTGAATTTTTGAACGACTTCGAGCTGATCCCCACCAACGGTCAGCGAAGGAGGCGGTCCAGACCAATCTTTAAGGTACGCTTTGCACTTCGAGGATGCGAAGCAAAGCCCGAAGTGACGGACAGCTAGTGCTAATCTGAAAAGTGCCGCTTCACACGTTTGTGAGCTGTCACAGATTAGGACAATATCATCAACATACTCTAAGTCAAGAGGTCGTTCTCCTGGGAGCAGATCCACACCTTCTAAGTCGTGTCCTGTGAACGCGATTTCCATGACTTCGTCAATAGCGAAGTTGAAGAGAAAAGGTGACAGCGGGCATCCTTGTCTAACGCCGCTGGAGACAGTAAAGGGCGACGACAACTTGCCGTAAGCCCTCACTCTGCCCGAGCTACGCGCATATAATGCTCGGATAATATTCACATATTTCTCGGGCACACCTTTCCTGAGTAGACAGTCCCAAAGTGCATGTCTACCTACCTACCTATTCCGTCCTTCTGTAATCGCTGTAACTCAATGTTCAGACGGGTTGCAAAAGATAGACTCCGTGGCTTGTAAAATTTCGGTTGAGTCTGTGGCTTGATATTCAAACAAGCTTTGAAATCACGTAGTTTCTCAGACATGTTTGTATCGAAAACAGTGACAAAGCAAATCAAGTGTAGATAAGTCAGAAATACTGTCCACCGTCGTGACAAATAGTAGTATTTCCGACATTTACTTTAAGCGGTTCCTCCCAAGTAGATTAGGTTCATCTGTTAACAACGATTAGAGGAAGAGTCAACATATTGTCCCCATGATTTACTTTCACGTCACACACACCCAAAACATCGAGTATTTCTCCAGTGTATGATCTTAAATTAGATTGAATCGGAGTCAGAACCAAGTCGGGAAAAGTTCGATTGTTGATCAATGTAACCGAGGCCCCGGTACTGATCTCCGGACGTACGGGCTGGGCTTCAATGTTTAAATCAACAGTGTATGGGGTATTCCTATTGCGTGCGAAATTAGATTATAGGATCGTCAGTGTTTGCCGCAGTTCGAAGAGTACTCTGGGCAGGGCGAAGTATCAGTCGTTGAAACACAGTTGAACGACATGCGCGTGCAATATGTCCGACCATTTCGCACTTATGGCAAGTAGACTGTTAGGCTGAAATCAGTAAACATTTCATGCCTCGCCGCATCTGTAGCACGTAAAGAAACATTTGTTGGTGGGTGATAGTCGAGATTTAACAACATGGACGGCATCTGAAAGAGAATCGCTTCGATACTGTCCCTTTTACTGTACTCTAATGGGCTCAGAAATAGAGTCAATAATGCTATCAGAGGCATCTGAGCCTGTTACCTCCGAGTTAACTGGGGCGTCCGAGAGGATGGGCGATTCCTAGATTGAGTTGGAAACCAACAGATTGACTGTCAGCGGTGGTGCAGCCTGCTGCGTCCCCACTCGCTCAAATGGGATAGGAAAATTGTAGCCTAGTGAATCAATACTATACGCACGATCTGGGTGGGGAAAATAAAATTCCTGTTACTGTAGTTCTATGAGACAATTAGACAGTAGACAACGAACGAATAAGCTTGTGATAGTAATGAGAACCCTATTAGAACCAACGGTCACGTCAGCGTCGTAAATTATGTGGTATGTCATTTCCATACTGATTCAGTAAAATACAAGCACAACTCAATAGTCTTTATAAAGAGCCGGAAAGGTGGCTACATGACAGAACGGTTAGCGCAGCAAGATTCTGTTCCAGAAATCACTTTCTATTTAGTACATAATGTTGTCGCCATGTGTTGTGTCTATCGCCAGGTGTGTGTAATTGTAATAACACGTGAAGTTATGACTTCACCACCACTGAGTGGTGGAAGGGGAGTTACTATGGCTATTATTCAGGTCAGATCAGGTTCCCAGAACGGTATAGACTTCCGCCCAACGAGCGTCCTGCTTCTTGCACCGGCAAGCAACCAACGGCCCCCGGTACTTCGACTTCCAATTGCATTTCTTGCTTCTGCAAAGAAAACGAAGCAAAAAGAAACTATCTTGTACTTTCATCCTTCATGAGTTCTCTGCAACGAGCATCAATAAGCTTACAATATTTCTGGAAAAATTCTAACCAATATCTATATAGAGTTCAGCTGAAGGCGTCAACCGTTGTACCGCACATCAACGAAGAGGAAGCTTGTTCCAACTGCCGACAATGCGGTTCGCAAAGTATTTCGCTCTTATGTCTAGTCGAGACCTCCGATGCTTGAGTTTAAGATGATGAACTCTCAGGTGATCTGAAGTAGATGGCTCACGCAGGTCGGTAGGCCTGATGCCACTAAGGCCCTTCATGATCCGAAACAGCTCTATTAAATCTCTTAATCTACACCTTTCCATGGAAAACAAATCCAAGCTCTTTAGACGTCCATCACGGCTTTTCACGTTGGCCCTCAATCATTCTAGTCGCCAGCTTCTCTGTACAAATAACATCCGGAGATACGGCGCCCACGTTTGGACACAGTATTCTAAGCGAGGTCGTACCACCGTTTTATATACTGGAAGGAATACCTTCGAGCTAGTGTTACATAAGGTCCTCCTGAGGCGGAAGAGTTTCTGGCGCGCATTGTTGGCAGCATGTTGACATTGTGCTGAGGGTTTGAAGTTATTCGTAATAATGACACCAAGTTCCCGTGCTTTATAAACAGGCTGTCATGTGAGCGGTCCAGTAGAAGTCTGCACCGTAATCCCATCATTGCTGGAAGTCAGCAGCTGGCATGTACGGACGTTAAGAGGCAAATACCATACGAAAGACCCCCTTGTTACAGTGCAGAGATTCTTGGACAACGTGTCCATATTGTCCGTGCTAACCCGTTTCAGGTCATCGGCAAAGATGTGACAGGGGTCCTCAAGAAGGTGCCAAGTCATTTATGAATATGAGGAATAACAGAGGACCTACAACAGAAGCCTGGGGAACGCCACTGTGAGCGGTGCCAATACTTGAGATGGCAACGTGGAAGGTACTTTCTAAAAGAAATGCTAATATCCAATACAACAATTGAGGATGAATCCAAAGCCAGACCAGCTTCATTAGTAGGAAACGGTGGTTTACCGAATCAAAGGCCTTGCTGGAGACAAGATAAGAAACCTCTACTGAAATTCCATTACCAAGATGTGTTACTTCATCAAAAAAACACATGACTTCTTGAAGGGAACTGTAATACAACTTGGATTTCGTTTTCACATGCTGAGCTAATCGAAGCTCAAATCAATAGTTTGCTTTCCTTTGCAATTTGACTGCTAAATTCCTGCATCTTTTGTAATGCCTCCAGTGTCTAAACCCTCCAACTGCCTGAAAGTTCTTCCAAGAATTGTTCCGCCGCTTAATCGCTCAATCTATTTGTTCCCCGGCGCAGCCAACACGACTTGGCACCATGTCTTTTCGGCCTCAACGGAGCAAACCCATCCAACAACTGGACCAGCCCATTTTTAATCAAGCTCCAACGGTGCGGTAAGGTGACCTGTTCTGGTTCATGAAACCCGTCTATCTGCAGGGGTTGATCTCGTAACTGAGTGGCGTCAATGCGGCCCAGGTACCTCACAAGTCGGCGTTTTGTCAAAGAACTTTTTGAAGTTAACGAGACAGTAATCACAGAGTGGTCACTCTTACCGATGAGAGCCTCAGTGTGTATCTCTGACAAGTGATCACATCTGGTTATCACAACGTCCAGTGTTGAAGGTATACAACCAACCCGCTTCCCCATTGGGAAGTTAACATGCTGGACATAAACATTCTTATGCACCCATTCTACCAGGTCTCGCTCTAGATTACCTCTCGTGTCCGTTGCATGGACCCAATGTGCATGTGGAAGAGTTGCGTTACCGATGACCACAAAGTTCGGTGCAGTTACCACTGATTGTTTGAGCAACCTACTAAGCTTCGTATCTTCCACTCGCGTAGAGGATGGGCTACGATACAGGCAAATAATTATTTAAACCGTCCCTCCAACCTGAGAAAGCATGAAACGACATGGATACTAGGTGTTGACATGGAAAAGAGGACCTCCCAATTCGAGTAGTGGCTCTTGATAAGCAAAAGTACATCCCTATCTGCGTGATGGCCAGGGCCAGTCCACGTAATATTCAGAGAAACCATACAGTAAATTACGGGTTGGATCACTATGGGAGAGCCAAGTTCCAGTAAGTGCAACTACATCGGCAAGTTTGCAACTTACCGTCAGTTCTTCCCACGCATTCCTTATACTATAACAGTTAGTGTACCACATTCTCAGCTCCCCTCAATGATCCTTCCTGTCCATCAAACCTTTAAGCTTCCCCTCGGGTCTTACGCCCGAGGGGATAGCATACTTTTTGAGATGTTTTCAAGACGATTGTCTATCGCACTTGCCCGACTTCCTGGATCAGTAACGGCTCCCAGCAGAACGCCACAGGATGAGTTCTGCTTTTGCAGCTTCAAAAGAGCTACTTTTGGTTCGTCCGCCAATTGTCTTTTTTGTTACCTTTTGAATAGGCCAGATTGCGTCTATCCCTTTTTACCAATATGGGCACTTCTGTCTCGATTTAATTGATTTCGCTTTGTACCCACTACTGAAGAGCTGTTCACAGTCGAAGATGTCAGTTCTATTGCATAAGGATCTGTAGCATCAGATGATTTCGATTGCCCACATCCAGTCACAGCGTTCAGATCTACTTTATCAGGCTTACTTTTGCTGCCGACAGTGAATTTGCACTTGCTGATTCTTCCACACGTTCAGCGGTCACATAAGGAGTATGATCTCCAATTCTTTCAACAATAATAGGGTTGTGATCCCTTTTGCAGACGAAGGTTGCTAAAAGTGGGTGATCACCAGCTTATCTGTTGATCGTTTGTACCCACCCAACAGTCTCACTTACACGGTGCTCTTGAACAAAAGAGCCAACAAGTGGTTTGATATCACAGTGCTCCTGAGCTGGAGCCAAGCTAGCTAATGGTGTATACTCATTGATGGTATTATTTCTTAAAGCTGTTTGAGTAAACTTTTCCTTTAAAACTGCTGTGTCTAGTGTAACGTGAGATGGACCTATTGTATGATTTGATATTACACCAGCTCGACTAAGCAGCAAAACCCGGTAAAGCGGATTCTTGAATTCTACCAGTCGGCCTTGCACGCCACTTATGACTCAGTGCTTCTGCATTTCTCCAACAACCGACCCTGTGAATTCTCTTCATACCAACGTGTAATGGTATGACGGAAATTCGGGGAATAACTTTCATCCGGCTTTTAACCTCGCGTATTACCGGCTCCTTATGATTGAGAATAAACACATTCCTCTGGCGGCCCATTGAAATTTCAGCGCCTTGCAGAAAGTGTTCAGAGATGAGTGCATTGCCTCTAATCGCACTCTCAGCGTGTCGATAAGGGATCGCTGATCTTGCATTAATTGTTCTGCTGTAGTAAGCCTTTACAAATACTCCGCATCATAACCAGCATGTTGGTCAACCTGTCGGTCACTTATTATAAGGGAGCAAGAGTCAGCTAGATAAAGAATGAAGACACCCACTTCAATTTGGGATAACGAGCGTAAATATCAATGCAATTCTGATCTAACCTAGAACAGGTATCATGGTACCAGACTAAGCACCTATTGCACTGAATTCCTTCTGTGATTACGGTGTTACACGTATATGCAAAACATTTGTAATCTACCTGAGAGGTCATGATCAGGGCAAATGATTCAAGGATCTCAGTGTTTATTAATAATACAATTCAATTGTGACCAGGTGCAAATAAAAACAAGAAAAATATACCGGAACAAACCCCCCGGGAAATAGATTTGAAGCAATTACCGGAGTGGGTGTGGATCCACGCTCGAGTCAGCAACAAACCAAGAAGAGCAACTTGGGTCAAAGTGTCAGGAGACGTGGGTGGCTTGTCGGTAGAAGAACTAGACCGGCCGTAGTGATATCAGCCGTGCTTGTAATGGTGAAGTAGGGAATCGATAAGTAATTTTGCTGTCTGGATGAAACAGTGCCACCAGATAGATCCGATAGGTATCATATCAATGAAGCAAAAGTTTCGCTTAGGAGGAATTTCAGGTACGTTGGGACACCCAAGCGGTGTCACACAACACGAGAATGGTTAAACTCTGATTGCAGGCAAAACCTGTGAGGTGAAAATGCTTGTAAGCGGTATTCGGTCAGCAGAAACAGAATTCCCGTGGAAATATCAACAAAAGACAGAGTCCAATATCCGTTCCACATTAGCCAAACACTCAACAAAGCTTCCAGAGAAAACGCTCAGTGATACACGACAGACATGCCGTGATAACCGAAAGTGCAATGTGGAGGACACGCTCCTGCATTAACAATCTGGTTGTTGCCAGAGAAAAGTGGGCCAAGTCAGTGGATGCTGGTCATCGCCTTGATGTAGTTTTTGTAGATTTTAGTAAAGCGTTTGATAGAGTTTCTTACAAGCGATTCCATATCAAACTTTAGTAGATTGGTATCGCTGGTAATTTTCTCTCCTGGATTGCTGATTTCCTAGATGACCGTAGTATGAGGGTTAAGGTTAACGAAGTGGACTCTGGTCCTGTTCTTATGACTAATGAGGTTCCACAAAGCTCCGATCTTAGACCCGAACTCTTCGAAATTTTCACCAAGGATCTTTCGGAGGTGCTCTAAGTCAACTGCTTGATCTGTGCGGATGATCTTAAACTGTGATCGGAAGTATCCAGGCTTGAAGATGCTGACAAGTTGCAACTGGCACTCGATCCTCTGCACGATTGGGCTTTCAAGTGGCAAATGCCTAGTAATCGTGATAAGTGCTGTGTTCTCCCGATCGGTGCTCAAGAATCTTTTGGTGTCTACCACATTTGTGGTTTTCTGCTGAAAAATGTGGTTGGTGAGAAGGATTTGGGTGTACTTATTTCTCCAGACCAAGGAATAACCCATGACACGTTGCGGAAGGTGGCCACTGCCAATAGGATGCTCTGTCATACGAAGGCTTTTCTAAGTTGACACCGCAGAACTTCACACTCTTGTTTTCCTCTTACGTTCGTCCAATACTAGAATATGGGTTACCTGCCATACACCCACTCACGAAATTGGAACGTGTTGATCGAGAAGGTTCAGAGGCGCGGATCCAAGTCTGTGTCTATGCGACATGTATCACCTTATGCCCTTCGTCTCCAGCGTATGAACTTATTTACTCCGGATTACCGCCGTCACCGTGGTGATCTGATTTATACTAGGCGCATTTTAAGGGGCGGTCTGAGGAAGGAGGTGCAGCAGTTCTTCTAGCTCAACACAGATTGCTCGACACGAGGCCACAGCTTGAAAATGTTTAAACCTCAAAGGAACCATGTCCGGTCCGATGAAGCGTTATCCACACAGGTTGGGAATGAGTGAAACTATCTCCCTGAATGTGGTAAGTGCCCAGGCACAGAAATGTTTTAAATTACGGTTGGACAAATGCATGATTAGCATGTCTGGATTCCCGTTTTTACTGCAGCTGTAACAACCCCTCGAAAAACAGCTTAGCAACGACACGTGTCATCCAGCCAATGAACGGGTGATCGAGCTGACATGAGTCTTCTGCTCTCTACAAATATGAACTACGATAACCGAAGGTGCAATGCACAATGCACGCGCAAATGATGGTTTCCGAGCACGAAGACGCAAATCCTTTTGGAACACAAGAGAAACTGACAGTCTATTCTAAGTATAAGTGTGGTTTAAACACTGCTCCGCACAGAGCCATCAAAAGAAAAAGAGCACGGACGAACGAACACGATGACCGCGCCGAGACCTTGGTTTCAAGTACAAGTTCCAACAGATGGTAAAAACTGGGGGACCAGACGGTAAATGTTAAAGCGAATTCATTGGATTGTAGACAGCAGAAGGAAAGTCCTTTGTCAGCTCCTTTACTTCCCAATCATTGCGTGGATTCCGTGAGTAGCTACGAGACGGTATTCCACAAGGGGCCGTAACAGCTACATTGGGAGAAGCAAGGTCCCAGCTTACAAATCAAGTGAGAATGTAAAAATCGCTTGAAACATTCCTTAGTCTGCGCGTCGACCACATGTTTCGGCAAGTCGTTCCAGTCATTTACAATGCGGGTTGATAGAGCGAAAGTGGAGCGAACTCTGAGTCTTCTGGATTTAAATAGTTTCCAGTTGTGCCCCAGAGTGGAGTTATTAGTGTTGAGTTGAAAGAACGCTTGTAGCTCCATCCCCGTTTCCCGCATCAGAATTCGCCTAGTAAAAATCAGTTCACCTATATGTCGACCATATTCCAAGGAGAACAGGTGCATTCGCTGTAGTCGAAGAGGGTAAGGCAAGTCCCTTAACTCCAGTATAAATTTCGAAGCACCCCGCTGGACCTTCTCAATCGTTACACTTGAACTCGGTAAGAGGACAGATAACGGGTAGTCCGTATTCAAGGATCGGGCGCACATGAGAAGTTAAAGTTCAAGTGCGACTGGAACGATAGGACGAATTCCGTAAGTGTTCTTTCTTGAGCGGGTCGTCGATCCAGGGGTTGATAGGGGTGCTCCGACTTCTTGATGGGTCTAAAAGGGAAACACCCGAAAAACACCCAGGTCCACCAATTTAATGCCCACGTTCCCTACATTAGCTGTCCCAGCTGTCGGTTACGTGAAGTAAGGAAAAGAGGAAGAAAAATCGAAGGTAAGAGAGTAAGGGAAATCAGTTAAAAGAAGAGAATAATACCAGTGGCGAGGAAAAGTAAAGAAAATAGAATCGAAGTATGAAGACGGGAATTAGTAAGGAAAAGGAAAGCTTCGTGTTGCTACCCAAGGGCGTCTAGTTGACGCTCAAACCCCTTAACAGTAGCTTCCTTGACAACATTTTCTGGAAGCAAGTTCCAGCGTTCGATGACTCGACGCGATAACCGTGTCTCCGCTCTAACTCGATCGGACCGCGGTTTGTCCAGCTTCATACAATGCCCGCGGAGACCAGACAATCTAGCAGGACTAAATAGCATGGACAAATCAGGGCCAACCTTCCCAGTCAAAATACGGTAGGTTAGGATTAGGTCCCCTCTAATTCTTCGATAGTGCATTGACTGCATCCCCAAACTAAGT